GGGGGTGGGGCCACGGCGTGCGAGCCGTGCTGTACAGAACGGTCCGTGGCACAGCTGTGGATCCTGTCCCCCAGGAAAGCCCCTTGGACGGGCCCTTGCTTTGCTGGGGCAGCCCCCCGGGAGTGAGTCGCCAGCACTAGGCCATGGCGCAGGGCATCTGGCTGCATCTGGCCCCTGCTCCTCCCCAGAGACACCCCTCACCCCAGCAGACCAGTCTCCCACACTCAGCCCCCGCTGGGGCAGGCCGGCCGCCCTGGCAGGGCAGGGCTGCGTGGCTGTCCCCGTGGGGAGCGGCTCCCTGGGGCAGGAGCAGAGGGCACGCATGGGTCTCTGCTCACAGATTCCCAGACTCCAAGGCCAGAAGGCACCACTGTGATCCCCGGGTCGGCCCTCCACATAACAGCCCTGTCACAGAGCCCACGCGCCGCTAGCAGCACCTCCTGCTGGTGGCTCCGGGGATTAGCTCTTTGCTGGTGCGGCACCCTCCTCTCACGGTCTCTTCACCATCCTGTGTCGCCCCTCTGGAGCTGCAGTGGCCTCTTGGGACAGGTCCTACGGCTCTCTCTGTCTGGAGCACCCAAAGCTCCCCAGGCCAGCTGTCCCAGGCAGCCTGCTCCCCCCTGCTGGGCCTGTGCCGCTTCCCTGGTGGCTGGCAGAGAAACCCAGGCCTGCCCCCTACTCCTGGTTCCAGGCCAGGGGCCCCCTCTTCAGCAGCCATGGTGGGCCCTGTCTTACCTCACCCCTTGCTGCTTTCTCCCACAGCCCTTCCTACCTGTCAGGCTCTTCCCGCGTCCCTGGGTTTGCTGTAGAAAGACTCCCTCTTTCCATAGCCCCAAACACCTCTACCTATTTCCCTTCTGCTCTGCAGCCCCCACTTCCTGCCCGGCCGAGCAGCAGACAGTCAATCCCTCCCCCTCCAGGTACAGCCTGGGCCATCAGTTGTCCTCCCTGGGCTCCTGAACCCCTTCCAGCCTCGCCAGAGAGCGCCTCAGGCCAGCCGAGGAAGGTCGAAGAGGGAGCAGTGGCTGGAAGTTGAAGCGAGACCCAGAGCTCAGACCCGCAGAGTTCACCTCCCACCCTGAGGGGGGCAGGTAGAGAGGCATCTCCCTCACTCCGCTGGTCACTCGCCATCCGCCTGCTCACTGCTCCCTGGCGCTGCCCTGCTGGCCATTACTGCTCCCTGGTGCCACCCTGCTGGCCGTCACTGCTCCCTGGTGCCGCCCTGCTGGCCATATGCTCACTGCTCCCTGGCGCCGCCCTGCTGGCCATCTCTGCTCCCTGGCGCCGCCCTGCTGGCCATATGCTCACTGCTCCCTGGCCCCGCCTTGCTGGCCGTTACTGCTTCCTGGCGCCGCCCTGCTGGCTGTTACTGCTCCCTGGCGCCGCCCTGCTGGCTGTTACTGCTCCCTGGCGCCGCCCTGCTGGCTGTTACTGCTCCCTGGCGCCGCCCTGCTGGCTGTTACTGCTCCCTGGCGCCGCCCTGCTGGCTGTTACTGCTCCCTGGCGCCGCCCTGCTGGCTGTTACTGCTCCCTGGCGCCGCCCTGCTGGCTGTTACTGCTCCCTGGCGCCGCCCTGCTGGCTGTTACTGCTCCCTGGCGCCGCCCTGCTGGCTGTTACTGCTCCCTGGCGCCGCCCTGCTGGCCATTGACCTCCAGGACCCCCTCCAGGACCTCCCCCAATACCCCCTTCCTCACCTCCAATACCCCCTCCAGGACCCCCTCCTGCACCTCTCACACCCCCTCCAGCTCCTCCAGGTCCTGCTCCAATACTCCCTTCAGCATCTTCAATGCTCCCTCCAATATCCCCTCCAGCTCTTCTAGTAAAAGCCATTAGTGATACTTTAGGAACCCGAGGCTCAGTGAGCTGTGGATGATTTTGTTTGCCCTGTGAGCCCAAACTATGGCTGGTCCTACAGAGACCTGTGGACCGGCCGCCTGATGCTGGGACCCATTTTGGATCTGGTCCTTTGCCACTCAAGGGGAGAAAAATGTGAACAGAGCACGAAGAACCCCCACCTGGGGTGGATGGGATGTGAGGGGAGGAACGCGAACGACAGAGGAGACGCCCGCCCCCACCTCCCACCCGAGATGCCTGCGGGAAGCCTCTAAGACTGAACAGGGGAGGATTGGGCCCACGCTCTGTGAGAGAGACAGGACCACGGTGGGGGAGAGAACGTGCATGTTAGCCCAGGCCACCGGTGTTCCTTAGAGGCCTGGGCTAAGCTCAGCTCTCTGCCTGGCACCCTGCAGAGGGGCAGGGCAGGGAGAGCCAGGGCCGCCGGAGCGGGGAGCGGGACCTAGCTGCAGTAGTGGGGTGTGCCCAGGGGGCATCTCAAGGCAGCCAGGCTCGCGGGGCAGGGGCAGGGGGGCGGCGCGGGGGGGTGGCCGGCCAGCACCGTGTCAGGGACCCAGGGTAGAGCCCCTGGCAGCCCCCGGCCGTGCCGAGGAGCAGGGCGGAGAGCCAGGGCCGGAGGGATGGTTATTAAACTGGGGGTGCGCACGACCCGTTCTAACCCCCCTTGTCAGCCCTCGGGGGAGCGACTGCGCTCGCTCTCCGGGACTCAGCCGCTCCGTGGCGG